GACGACTTCTTGCCTGGTTTATAAATATTTTGTGTTGTTCATTGGTCATGCTACTAGATATATATGGGTGTACTTTCTTCGTCTGAAGTCTAATCTCTTGACTGTTGCTACTGATTTTCTAGCCATGATAAAAACCCAGTTTGGTAGAACTGTTCGTGTAGTTTGTTCTGAAACATAAGGGAAATTTAGCTCAAGTCCTTTGTTATATCTTTACTGTTCTATGGAGATTCTGCCTCCAAAGTCTTGTCCCGAGGTGTCCCAACAAAATGGTGTCATAGAGAGAAAAAACCGTATTGTGTTAAAGGTTACCTGTGCCCTGCTGCTCTCTTCATGTGTCCCGTCTTCCTTTTGGTCTGAGATCGTAGCTACTGCTGTGTGTCTTATTAATTATCATATTACACATGTTCTTGACCAAACTAGCCAACATATTCTCGCCTTCGTGTCTTTGGATGTGTGTGTTTTCTTCTTCTTTGTCGACCTGAACGAACTAAGCTCACTTCTAAAACTGCCTGATGTTGTTTCCTTGGCTATAGTGACATTCATAAAGGCTATCTCTGTTACGACTCTACTTCCCGTCGTGTTCGAGTTGCATGTCATGTAATGTTTCTAGAGAACTTAATGTACCATTCTTCTCCTTCTGTGTCTGATCAACCTTGTTTGACATTTCTCTTGATTTGCCGTCTGATGATGATGATGATGATGATGATGATGGTTACCGTGATGATGAGTGTCATGAGCTGACCCCCTGACTCCCCTCCCTCGACAACGCCTTTGTCTCCCGCCTCGTCCGATGGGTCTTCTTCCTCTAAGTAGCCTTCACCATCTCCACTCACAGTGGAGCCTATTCGCTTGTAGCTTTGCAACACAAAGGGTGTTCCAGTGGTACGTCATATGGATTACTAGGCTTTTAGTGTTGATCACATTCCTGTCCCTACTCATTATTCACAAGCTAAAGGGATTTCGAAGGGGCACTACAAAAAAAGGCAGCCATTACCGACGACAAGTTTTCGTCAAAATAAATCAATTTGCGTAGAAAATGACCTTTTCCGACGACATACAATCGTCGGACATCGTCGAAAATTGTCTCGTCACTAATAAAATATTACTACCAGGCGTCGGAACAAAAATATTATCGACGACATAAAATTGTTAGTAATAAAAAAAATGTGATGTCACACATGAAATCACCCATGAGTTGTAAGTGGTGTAGAGTTAGTCGAGTAATCTAGGGTTTAGGACCCTAGTTGTATATATATGTATGTATATGAACCTGTTGGAGCTAAGCTGGATAAGAGGATAAACTAGCTTCGCCCGTGAACTAGTCTCCTTCATATAAAACGAGGAAACCACGTAAATTTGTGTGTCAATTTCTGTTTCTGTTTCGATATTTCCGTTACGATTAACAACTATGTGATTGGGTCACAAAGAGGACTTTGCTGAGCCTGCCATTGATTGGATTTGTTGATGTCATAGTCAGATATGATCAACATTTCTAACTCGAGATCGCTCCATATATTATCGTACCCTATGAAAGTTCTCATAGTTTCTCCTTCTTGAATATATCCAAGTAATACATTACGATATTGATGGAGGGCTTCCACTCCCAACTAGCAATGTGTTCAAAATCTACATATGTGATGGTTTGGTGAATATGTCTATGTACTTAAGGATATATATAGAAGAGAGATTAACTTAGTTCCTAGAAATAGAACTACATAGATAGTGATGTCAATTTGAACCCGCCCCGTGGGTATTACCCGACCTGACCCGTGATGGGGCGAGAATTACCCGATCCGCAGTAGTGTGGGGCTGGGCGTGCGTATCTACTTCCGACCAGGCCTGCCCCGCTTCGCCCCATTCATCGCCAATTCTATCTCAATTTCTTACAATATCTATAAATATTTCTCCTATTTTGACTTTTCTTGAACTAGTTATAGTCGATATTTCAACTGGTTAAACTCAATTAGGGAGAATGACACAAATATTGTGTTTTTTTAAAAAATTTACCACCAATATGGCGGAAAGTATTGAAAAGTATATTGTGTTTTGGAGAAAAAGTTAGGCGAGACCACCTGAGACTGAGGTGTCACCACCTAAGACTCAGGTGAATAGGTGGGAAGAAAGTCCCAGGTGTTGGCACCTGAGACTGAGGTGGTACCGCCTGAGACTGAGGTGGCACCGCGAAGAACAATCCTAATTCTAACCCTGAAACCCAAAACCCTAAACCCTGAACCCTAAACCAGCGAATTTCGTATCAGTTATTCACACCACAAATGGCTAATAGGTAAGAGACCTATTTATTTTTTTAATTATATTATTCAAATGCTATTATGATTGTGTTTAGTTTAATTAGTGAGTTTTTCTGTAGTGATTTTAGAAGATTTGAACTAGTCGTTTGGTGGAAATCGGAGAAAGTAGAGGATAATTTGGGCGTCAAATTCATTGGTGGTGGTAGTTTTCAGTTGACGGTTTTTCAAATGTAATAGTTGTGGTTTGAAGTAGTTGTTGTTTTTCAAATAGCTGTTATGGTTTAAGAAGGTTGTTGTTTTTCAAATGTAGTAGTTATTGTTCTTGGCCAAATTATAAAATGTCCGAGTTGTTGTTTGTTATTTGTTGTTCCGAATAGTTATCGCTAATAACATCATACATGAATGTAAAAATAGTTTAAGAAATAGTCCACAAACATAAATATTCCACATAATAGTCCACATAACACATAAATAGTTCCACATACATATCGCAAATAATAATAACATAACAAAAATACAAAACAAAAACTCTAACGATCACCACCACGACGACCACCATGCTGATCCACCAGATGGCCGTCAATACCACACCTCACTGGCACCCTGATCCATGTAGGCCTACCATCATCATGCTGGGGCTGATCATCCTCGACACGGATCAGCATGGTGGTCATCGTGGTGGTCGTCGTTAGAGTTTTTTTGTATTTTTGTTATGTTATTATTATTTGGGATATGTATGTGGACTATTTATGTGTTATGTGGACTATTATTTGAACTATTTATGTTTGTGGACTATTCCTTGAACTTATTTTACATTCATGTATGATGTTATTAGCGATAACTATTCGGAACAACAAATAACAAACAACAACTCGGACATTTTATAATTTGGCCAAGAACAACAACTACTACATTTGAAAAACAACAACCTTCTTAAACAATAACAGCTATTTGAAAAACAACAACTACTTCAAACCACAACTATTACATTTGAAAAACCGTCAACTGAAAAAATACCACCACCAACGAATTTGACGCCCAAATTATCCTCTACTTTCTCCGATTTCCACCGAACGACTAGTTCAAATCTTCTAAAATCACTACAGAAAAACTCACTAATTAAACTAAACACAATCATAATAGCATTTGAATAATATAATTAAAAAAATAAATATGTCTCTTACCTATTAGCCATTTGTGGTGTGAATAACTGATACGAAATTCGCTGGTTTAGGGTAAGAATTAGGATTATTCTTCGCGGTGCCACCTCAGTCTTAGGTGGTACCATCTCAGTCTTAGGTGGTACCATCTCAGTCTCAGGCGGTACCACCTCAGTCTCAGGTGCCAACACCTGGGACTTTCTTCCCACCTATTCACCTGAGTCTCAGGTGGTGACACATCAATCTCAGGTGGTCTCGCCTAACTTTTTCTCCAAAACACAATATACTTGTCAATACTTTTTAATCCGCCATATTGGTGGTAAATTTAAAAAAAAACAAAATATTTGTGTCATTCTCCCACTCAATTATCTATTCTATTATAACTATTTTTCATTCATTAAGTGTTTCCCCTTTGTTTTATCGTAAAAAGTAAAATTTGCATATATTTTTTTCAAATAACATGTAAGAGTGGGTCGACCCGCCGCATCCTGTACCCACGCGGGTTTTACCCGCCCCGCCCCGTTGTAGCGTGGGGTGGGACCTGGGTATTGAGGTATCCGACTCGCCTCATTGCCATCACTCGTATGACATCTGGATTAGGAAAAACTAATATGATGATGATCACAAACGGAATAATGTGTTTGCTACTTCTTTAGGCTGTGTGATCAAATAAAGTTTAATCAACTAGTTGGTAAGATAATAATATACGTGAATATAATGTTAATACTAATTTCAGAATTAGAACTAGGTGGTTGTTGAATAGATCATAGTGATGGAGTAGAGGGACTTGACCCTAACAATGCTTGTATCTTATGTGGCTCTTTAGTCACTACTACCAAATTAGTGTCGTAAACTTAACTAGTAAACTGGTTTAGTTTGATAGATTAGTTTAGTTAATTGAAATAATCTCGTTTGGGATGGGATTAGGTGCTAACCCCTATAATGGTTAGCACCGTGATAACTAGCAAAAATCACTACGGATTATTATAAAATCAATACAACATCTAAACTAAATCACTACTAATTCAAACTAGTAGTAGTTTTTCCCTTGGTTAGGACGGTGCTAACTATTATACAATTAGCACCGTAACCCCTCCCATCTCGTTTCGATGATACTAACCGTTAACTAGCTACTAGTAGTTGAAGTTGTAGGTACGACCTTGCTCGCTTCTAATATTAGGTAAAATAATAGGCATAAGTAATATTGCACTGTACTGTCATCCATGTCATATCTTCCATTTCTTCTATTTTTGAACAAGCTCGAATTTTTTTCTTGGGTAAATACAATATATTAGCCATAACTATTATTGCGAGTCAAGATTTGGCTAACAGCCCGTTACTATTTTCAAATTTTTAACGAAGAAGGTCGTGCCAGCTTCGTAAAAAATATGATATGATGACTGCCACGTGGAAGCCAACTCAACATTGTAAAAGCTTAGTTATCATTACTGACAGAAGTGTTAACGAACACTTAACGGTTGGCTAATAATTTGTATTTCGATAGTTGTGGCTATGATTCCCCGCTGCTTAATAGTTATGGCTAATATATTGTATTTACCCTTTTCTTCAATATCAATAACTTCATCGTAAAGAACAAAATCCAATTTTATCTTGCATAGAGTAGTAAAGAAGAAGACGATCGACCTCGTGTTGCTTTCTTGATAAAATTATATTTTGTACTAATAGAGGAAATAACATCATCGGAGACTCTACTAAACAAAAATTCAAGAAAACCAACCAACATAGGATCACTGACCATACCCTAGAATCAAAACCCAAAACACAAAACAAGAGTTCAATCGAAAAACGCAAAACCTACTCCCACATCACGAGACAACGATAGTGAACCCTAGCTACTTGTCCCTTTTATGTCGACCAACTTTCAAAAAAGACCGTACCAGCAAAAAATGTGGTTCGTAACGCGGAACGCCCTACCTTCTCTTATAGTAGTAACAAGCCTGATTCGAGTCAGTGGTCAGGCACACCGCGTCCCTCCTCACGAGCCAGCGACAGTACTTGCAGATATAGTAATCCCTGTCCTGAATGTAGATGTCGAACCAACGAACCCCCTCCCCCCAATCGAAGGAGCAGTAGAAGAGGGTCGTCTCGAAGAAGGTCGGCCTGAACGTCCAGTCGAACGACCGGTGCGGTTGCAGCCTGCAGAGGTGTAGATCGTCGTCCCTCGACTTGCAATGGACCGCGAGTTCCCGTCCCTCGATGTCGTTCTCCACCACCACCGTTGTTTTCTTCTTTCTGGGATCCCAAGGGTTGGCGTCGACGGACATGGCGAGTGTATGTTTTCTTACGAATCCAATCCTTTTTTCTAAAATATTTATCTACCATATACTCATTCAATTGGTGGAATGACTTTTGTTTTAACATCTATCATAAATTAACAATTAGTTTATCTATTAGAAGTTTATAATAGTGGTATCTAGTTGTGGCAAATAGTTATATATATCTGGTTGAAATCTTTTATGTATAACTTATTATTTGGGACAATAATGATATTTAGGACTTTGTTATGGTGACATGCATGTCACGGTGACATGCACTTTCTGGTCGACCTAATATGTTGTTTCAGTGTAAAAACAGTTTCATGTGGCTTACTTTGGAGATTCATATCTTATAATTGGCTAGATGGAAATTGGAGATTAATGGCTTGTTTTAAATCTGAAGTGTCCCTCTACACATTAGAGTACTTCGGAGCTCGATAGGAGGTCCAGAAGACCATTTTTGAACCTGATCAAAAGGCTATGCCAAAACTGGGAAACTGCTTGAAGCTACTTCGGAGCTCAATCTGAGAAGCATGGATGCGAGTCGAGTCCAGGGGCTTCGACCACGTTAAATAAGGTATGTTTGTCTACAAAGGCAAGACATTGGATGAAAGATTGAATATCTTTAAGGCTTCAAACAAAAGACTCGAAGTTCCTTCGAAAACTGTTTTTCTGGCAGCTTGCTTGTGCTCGAAGTCTGCCAAAAAAAAGCCTTCGTAGCAACTTCGACCCTTTTGTTTGAAGCCTTACAGATATCCAATCTTTCATCCAATGCCTTGAATTTTTATAAAAACATACATAATTTAACGTGGTAGAGGCCCCTGTACTCGACTCGCATTCATGCTTCTCGAATTGAGCTCCAAAGTAGGCTTCACAAACACGTTCCCAGTTTTGGCATAGCCTTTTGATCAGGTTCAAAAATGGTCTTCTGGAATACCTATCGAGGTCTCAATCACTTCAATATGTAGAGGGACACTCCAGCTTCAAAACAAGCCATTAATCTTCAATTTCCATCTACCCAATTGTATGATAGGAATCTCCAAAGTAGGCACCATGTAACTATTTTAACACTAAAACAACATATTAGGTCAACCTAATCCTAAATGAGATCGACCTAATCATAACCGAGGTCGACCGAAAAGTGCAAGTCATCGTGACATGCATGTAACCGTAGGCGCACCCTGATATTTAGTTGGTTGAAATGTAGTTTTAATTAAAGTCGATTACTAAGTGCATTTATTAAATGTCTTTTTATTTGGTGTTAAGAATGTCTAGAAACTTTATTATTATATGGTTATAGGTATAATATGCCCCTCTACTATGACGTTTTATCAAACATGCCCTTCTACTATTTTTAACATCAAACATGCCCCCTGTACTTTGTAAAAATGATCAAACATGCCCTTTTGTTTAAATTTTATCCAAAAACCGTTAACCAAGGTTGAACTTTGGTTTGGACGGCAAAAATGTCTAAAATATCCCTAATAATTTCACTTTTAATTTTTTTTTGTCTTTTGTATAGCCAAATAATTCAAATAATTTCACTTTGAAGACACCCAGAGAAATACAACGGTAGATAAAACTAACATTTTCTCTCCCATTTGCCGATGTCGGGTCGTCTAAATCTCGGTTCAACCATGATTGACGATTTTTTCAATGAAAATTTTAACACAAGGGCATATTTGATAATTTTTTCATAGTACAGGGGCATGTTTGATGTAAAAAATAGTAGAGGGGCATGTTTAATAAAACGTCATAGTAGAGGGGCATGTTTGATAAAACGTCATAGTAGAGGGGCATATCATACCTATAACCCATTATTATAATATGTATACCTCTATCCGGATACAACAATTCATATACTAGCACGATACGACACGGTTAGTGCATGACACGAGTACTAGATGACTGAGTTGGCCGTGTACAAGCACATATGCTTCAAGGGCCGTACTAGACCTAAATTTCGTAGGCTTGGGTACAAGCATGGCTTGGATAAACAATACTAAATTTTATCTAAGTTCAGTAGGGAATAGGGAAAATGTTCGACTTATATAGTTATTATTGAATTATATATATATTTACTCGTTTTAGAAAAATTATAACAATAATTTCTTTGTATCTACAAATATATTATAGCAGAGTTGGAGGCAATTTTTCAGCATTTCAAATTTCCTCCAACAAGAGTGAAAGTATGAAGGGTAATTATGTCTTCTCACTCATTATTTATTTTTTATTCGTATGATATTTTATCTAAGTTCGGTAGGGAATGGTGAAAATGTTCGACTTATATAGTTAGTTTTAAATTATATTTATTTACACATTTTTCAAAAATTTTAACAATAATTTTTTGTATCTATCCTCCTATAATATATAGTAGATCTTCAGGAGATTTTCAGTATTTTGAATTTCCTGACTTCTCCTTAAACGTCGTCGAGGGTATTTTCGGAACTAAAGTGATAATTTTGAAAAGAGCAATTTTCACCGCCCGCACAAGTGAGAAAGTGAACGGGCCCAGCGATCGTTTCAGCCCATAAACAGAGAACTGGTTCCAGTCACGCCGAGCCATATCTCAACTGTTCGGCCGCACTGATCGTCAAGTCCCCCCGCCGCACCTACCCTTCTCCGCTGTTTCCCACAAAGAGAAGCCTTGCCATTGTTGCTATGCTCAGCGTCGACTTCTCCCATACCTCAACTTCTCCCATGGCCTCTTTACCCATTGGCTCAATTGTCGTTTCTGCTTCCCGGTCCGGCCGAGGAACTATGAATCTCCGTTACGTTTTCTGGATATGTGAGAAGAAAGAGGTTGATCGAGAAGAATGATGACTATTCGGTTCTCTTTCCTGAAGCGCCCAAGCATACAGTTTCTTTGTTCCCTCTGTTTTCTCTTATCATTCCGAGCGAAATTCTTCTCCCCAGAGATGGATGACGACTGATTCACCTTCCCCTTTATTCTTGATTCTTCCCAAATTCATTGTCCATGTGAAATGGTATTTTTGTAAGCAATTAAGGAAGGGGAAATATGCATGATTGGTTCGTCATCTATTTGCCGACTTTGTTGTCAATTGGGTTCTTTCATAGGCCAAACTATAATCGTCTTTAGATGTATCGATTGGGGTTCCTCATAATCTACAATCCGAGTGATCCAAGGGCCACAATCCAACATTGTATTGAAGCGTTTGGAGAAGAGAAAGACATCTCCTACAAGGGTAATCAAGTTCTTTCTCCATGTGCCTTATGTTTAGTTCTTAACAAACCCCATTAAAGTTCAGTTCCTAAAGTTAAGTTTTGGTTGTTGATTTATTCAATTGCCGAAGCAAGTGCTAATGTGTACGCTTAAATCTTTAGTTGTAGGTGGAGATGATGAAGTTTCTGTAAGTTTGCTTGAGAAACCCTTTTAACGATGAGAGTTCTTATTCATGGGAATGACAATAATTGTGTGTTGGTTGCAGTCGGGGAATGACAAGATTGTTGTTATAGAAATGACGACAGGATGAAGCATTAGGCTACCTTGATAGTTTAACAGTGTATGCAGGGTTGAACGTGATGGTACTGCATCATTTTTGTATGATGCTTTGGATTGCTCAAGTGATCGTGTACGTTTCTTATGGAGGAATTAAATTGTGAGGCATCTTCTTAATTTTTTTTTTTTTTTTTGTTGCAAATGAATCCAAAAATGCAACCCCTGTACTTCCAGTCTCAATTGTGTTGGTAAGGTTTTGTCATTTCCATAGCACCAACTCCTCTCCTCACATCAGACCATAAAGCCTTCATTCGGGATTTGGTCATCAAGTAAAATAAACATTATGGATTTGCCATCCTAAACAAGTTATTTTCTCTAAGATAAGATATATAATGCTATTATTTTATATCTTAGTGGCTAAAATATATTATAATTTAAAATTATTAAATGATTCAGCCTCGACCAACCCGATTAGTCCAATTTTTATCATTTTAAATATATATTATATAATTATTTGATATCATAATGATTAAATTATAGTGTATTTTATAGGGAATCGTTTGGTATTTGTTAGTAAAAAACTAAACAAAAAGATCCATTTGTTTATTTTTAACATTAAAACGATCATAAACATTTCCAGTTTCCTTTCTAATTTCTATGGTTTTGTTCCCGAAGCAGTGATGTGCTAATAGTGAATTGCAATCATCTATTTTCTTCTATATTTATTTTCAATTACAAAGTTTGAAAGTAAAGAATAATTGGAGTTTGGCATGGGGTCTGTCAAACAGGCTGAATTTTAAATTTTAGTCCGTCTTGATCAAGTTTAATTTATAATCACATGGTTCCCTGACACTCGATGAAAATCTCAATCCAAACCATTTCGGCAGTTGAGTCCGTGTTTACCACCATTTTCTAGGGATACAGGAATGGCGATTCCTACTTCCTATCCCAAATCATGTTGTTCGTTCTTGATTTCTTTAGATTTTATCTTGGTCTGGCAAAAACCAGAAAGCATAATAATGAAAAGGTGCAAGTTTTATAAAGAAATTAATCGGCCAACGAGCCGAGTAAAAGCTAGCAACGATTGTGAGATGCTCATTCTCGAAGACCGGCGGGATAGGCGCTTTTTTATTCAGTTCTCTCGAATTTGATTTCTATAGAATTTACTCCACCTCATCATATTAGCGAAAAAATACTGATTCACAAGGTACTCTAACTTGGTTCATAAAGCTGATTTTTTATTCGTTGCATCATCCATGCCTTTTTCCTGCTAAAATTCACTATTTTTATCATTTGTTTCCAAAACAAAACTATACACCAATAAGCTATACACCTCCATTACATTCTCAAATTTCATACCTCACCTTCCGGCCAACTGGCCGGGGTTCACGCTTGTAATATAATACATCGAAGGGAAAAACAGGAGCCCCATTTCGAATTTCCTGCAACGAGAGTGAAAGTAGGAAGGACATTTTGGTCTTCACAATTACTTATTTTTTATTCATTAAAAGGACACGTACTGAGATTCAAACCATGTTCATTTTAAAGAAAAGCAAGAATCATAACCAATCACACTAAGTACATTTGTTGTATCTTTTTAAATAAAAAACATATAATAGCAGGGAGGAAAAAACCCTTCCCCCATTTCCAATTCCCTACTCCAGGAGCGTTTTTGTAGGAAGGGTAGA